TTGAATCAAGGTCAGATCACTACAGACTGTCCCCAGTAAGGCATGTGGTAGGTATTGGGGAGACCCTTGAGACCCTGGAACTGCAGTGCAATCCATGTGCACATACAGTCTAGGAAAGTTGCAGCTCCAGACTCCCAATTGTGAGTGAAGATGGTTGCTACCTGGACAGGCTTTTCAACTTAGCAGGGACCAGCCAGCCCTTTCCCAATTATTACTCCCAGGCCAATAGGAACAGAACAACTTATTCGTGATCATTCATCAAGTTATGCCAGTGTGTGGATTGCTGAGTGTACAGACTCACAGCTGAGGAAGGCTGACTCTCATCCACATCTGGAAATGCATGGGGTGCTGAGTGCAATGACTCCCAGCTGGGGAAGGCTGACTCTCATCCACATCTGGAAATGCATGGGGTGCTGAGTGCAATGACTCCCAGCTGGGGAAGGCTGACTCAACAGCCACATCCATAAGGGTTCCCTCTCTCAAGGTATCACTTCTCTTTCTCTTGTCCTTCACCCAGTTCCACCTTCCTGGTCCCTCATGTTCTCCTCGAACTCCCTTCTCTCCTCCTCTTGCTCCTACCTACCTCCCCCATGCTCTCAATTTACTCAGGAGATCTTGTCCTTTTCCCTTTCTCTCTTGGGATCCTCATTGTTTCCTAGCTTCGCTGGGGTTGTGGATTGTAGGCTGGGTAACCTTTGCTCTATGCCTAATATCCACTTATGAATGAGTACATACCATTTTTGTCTTTCTGTATCTGGCATACCTTACTTGGGATGTTTTCTTCTAGCTCTATCCATTTGCCTGAGATTTTTGAAGATGTTACTGTTTTTTACTGCTGAATAGTACTCCATTCTTCAGTTGAGCATCTAAGTTTTGAGTTCTGACTCTTAGGAATAAATAATGAATATAGTTCATAGAAGTCCTTGTGGTCTGAGTGTGCATCATAAATTATAGATTGGGAAATATGAATTTTCTTGTTTGGTATAATTAGTATCAATCATTTTATCACATTTTTGTGTATGCTTGCGTACATGCATATGTGTCTGTGAGATCGTACACATGATTGTGCAGATGTGTGTGCAAATGGGGACAGAAGGATGAATTTGACTGTCATTACTCAGGGGTCATTCACCTTTCTTATGCTATAGGGCTTATCACTGAGGAGGCATGCTAGCCATGTATCTTTCACAATACAGGTAATTTTTATGATCTGGTTTTTGGTAAAAGTTGACTTTGGTGCCCCCACTCCCGTGTGTTTTGGGTAGTACCTTTACTAGGATTCCAGAAACACTCCTTGTAGAAAGTCTAGCTTTTATTATGAGATATTCAGTTCACTGATAGTCTGCACAAACAGTAGATACCATGCTTGTGATTTCTAGAACTGCATCCACTGAATTGGACTCCCACACAAAACAGCTGTGGGAATGTCACTAATGTTCTCATTCTGAGTTGCATTCCATCACAATCCATGACACCTCTTCTCTAAAAGAGTCCAAAGGAGATCTGTCTCAGACCTTCTTATCAGAAAACCTTGTATCACCCTATCCTGATAGTCCAATGTCTTAATGGATACATCCTAATGTATGCCTCAGACCCCACATTTGTCTCTTTCTACCATTCTAGAAATGGTGTAAACCTTATGGAGTTTATGTATAAACTTTCATCTTTTAATTTCCTTTTAGATTTTAAATACTTTTTATGTTAGAGTAAGTTTAAATTCAAAGCAAAACAGTTTCTTATATGGAGACACATGTCACCCCGGACCTCATGAGTCTTCAGCTGTCACTACTGTCACACAGGTCTTCCACAAGAGCAGCCACTGCTCTTAACAGTTGTGTCATCTCTCCAACTTCCAAAAGGCTGGTGAATTTATTCTAACCATGATACGATATTGTCACATTTTAATATCAAATTAACTTCAATGTTATTAGAAGATTTAAGCAACTTCTTGAAGTGGCCAAAGCCATGCTCCCTTCTTGCTTTTCGCTTTGCTACTCAAGTCCCCTGCCATAGTGTAGTGGGAAATGGTGATACTTTTGTGGAAGTTAATTAAGAAATCTCAGAATTAGAGATGAACAGAAGTCAGGCTGCCCCTAACTCATTGGCTGTCTTTTGGCAATCTATTCCTCCTATTGGGTTGCCTTGTCCAGCCTTAATACAAGGGGAAGTATTTAACCCTACTTCTAAGCTGACTCATTATTCATGCTGGTAAGTACAGATTTCAGAGTGATGGGATATTTTCTGAGAAAGACAATACATTTCCTCTAAGCACACTCTCAAAGTCATTCACATTGCTGAGTAAAGTAGAAATTGAAGTGGCCTCTTTTCTTAAAAAAGACAGTGCCTGTCATCTAACTAGACTCATTATTCTAGTCGCCTTTTTAATTACAGTTGAAAGACATCTGGCTTCATCCCAGAAAACCCATTGTGTTCCTTCTAATCATACTCAGTATTCTTTACATAGTGCTGAATAATACAATTGAAAAGATGCTGCTTCTTTTCCTAGAAAAGACAGTGTTCTTCTAAGCATACCCATGGTATTCACATTGCTGAGTCCAGTTGAAAGAGAAGGGGAAAACGTAGTCTGTTTTCCAAAAAAAGACAATGAATTTGTTTTAACTATGCACACCTCTCTAACTACAGTTGAAAGAGATCTTGCCTCTTCCTAGAGAAGACAATGCATTTCGGTGTACATACATCCTATTCTTTTCACGTTCCTAATTTCAGTGAAAGAGATGTTGCCTCTTTTCCTAGAAAACACAATGTGCATATTCCATTTATGACCTGGGCTTTTGCCTAGACCAGCTACACATCTGACAAAGAATTAATATCCAAAATGACTCAAAAACACAAGGATTCAAGAAAATGATGACCCCCCCCAAAAAAAAAAATGGACCAGGGATCTATATGGAAAGTTCTAAATAGAAGAAATAAAAAAACAGGCTAAGAAATACCTTTAAAGGTGTTTATAATCCTTAGCAGTTGGGCAAATGAAAACTATCACAACTTTAAGATTCTACCTGACCCTTGTCGGAATCACTTAACACAACAACTGATAACAAATGATGGTGAGGTTGTAGGCAAAGGTGAACCCACATTCACTATTGGTGAGAATATAGATGTATGCAGCCATTCTGGAAATCATATGAATAACCTGCAAAATGTTAAAAATAAGTATCATGTAACTCAGCTATACCACTCCTTGGCATATTCCCAAAAGACAAGACAATCTACTCCACTGATACTTAACTCAGCCATGGTCATTATTGCCCATTCAATATAGCTAAAAAATGAATACAACTTAAATGTCCTTCAACAAATGAATGCATAATGAAAATGCGGTAGATATTCATAGTGAAATATAATTCAGCAGTAAAGAAAAGTAAAGTCAGGAAATTTCAGGTCAGTGGATGGACATAGGAAAGAGTATATTGGGAGAATTATACCAAACACAGGAAGACAGACATGTTCTCTCATCTGCAGTTCTTAACTCCAAATCTTCAAATGTGAATATAGCATGGAGTAACCACATAAACCAGGAAAGCATGAAGGGATAACAGCAACAGGGAGAAGCTTGAGAAGGAAATAGTAGAATGTAGATGGTATTTAAACAGAAACAGAAAAATGAGGAGGCTTCAATTGGGAATGGGAGGAAGGTCAATATAAAAGAGTAACAAATAACAGCAGGGTTTTTTTTAAATAAAATTTTAATAATCATTTTATATTTACATGAAGTAATACACATATATATTGAAATACAACTTAACTATAAAGAAAAATTTAAATCATGAAATTTTCAGGTAAATGGATGGAGATTATTTTGAGTGAGGTATCCCAGATTTATAAAGACAATATACCACATGTTCTCTCAATATACAGCTCCTACATCCAGATAGAGTGGATGGATGGATGGATGGATGGATGGATGGATGGATGGATGGATGGATATAAATAGATAGACAGACAATAGATAAGAGCCAGAATACTAGGAAGTCCTCTGTAAGACTACATTTCTTAAAATTGGGTACATAAACAAAACCTAACAATGATAATAGACAATGGCATCACAGAAGAGTGAAACCTCATAGGGTCTAACCCCTACATAAAGAACTATAGGCAAATAATGAGTGCTGAGAGAAGACAAAATAGCCTCATCCATTGATGAGCCTCCTAATTGGTTATCCGATACAAAGTGGCCAGCCCTGAAAGCATATACACATAAACAAAAATTAATCAGCAAGTTGTACATATGCATTTGTTCATATACATGTAACAGTAATTATCAAGAGGCTATCAGTTTGAGGGTTGGGGTGGGTTGTTGGAGGGGTTCTAAGGAGGGGATATGGGAGATGTTGGAATGGGGCAAAGAACAAGGAGAAGTGATATAATTCTGTTTTAACTACAATATATAAAGTTTTTTGAAATAAAATTTCAAATTTAATTTAAAGATTATAATTCCTAGGAAAAGTACTACAAGGGCAATTTAGTAGTGATGTGCTCTTTTTTTCATGAGAAAGTGGTAACTACTATCCTATAGAATCCTTAGCAGTTTCAACAGATGTTTGAGTAGACCAGAGCCAACTCTCTGAAACAAGAAATTTATAGACTGATGGAGAGTTTGCCATCATAGTTCTTATTCAATCAGCACTTAATAAGTGAAGTACTTTAAAGTTACATTTATTCGCTAATTATTCAATATATTCTATACAAATTAACAATACTTTTAAAGACATAGTACTTGTCCTGGCCATATTTCTGGTATCCTGGTTAAAATAGTCATAGGTACAGATAATCATATAACTTTACAATGAAATCACACAAAATTATAATTACCGAAAAAATGAGGAAGAATGCCAAGAGTATATTTTCTGGGATATTATCATCTTGAAAGTAAGAAATTCTTAGAATCTAGCCTAAATTCCATCCTACGTACTATATCTTTTTATGGGAAAACATATTGACAACTAATGATTGGGTTTATACTGAAACTATAAATCATCTCACTCATTATTGCTCTTGATATCTACTACATTTGATTGTTTTTACTCTTCCCAGATAAAAAGAATTTCACCATCTAAAATGTAATGTATTTCTAATTTATTTCTGTTTCTAATATTTAAGGATTTCTCAACTTGCCAAGTATGTAACATGTAAGCTAGACCAAGCAGTCCAAAGGGGAACTGATAACTGGTATTTTCTGTTACTACTTGGTTGGAATTTGTCCTTGAGTTCTGGAATCTGTTAATTAAGTTGTTATTCTCATCAACATTTTTGAAGTTATTTGTCCAATTGCGAATATTTAATCTAATGGAATTCATACTCTCTACAACTAGCAACGATGTTTGCATGAGATCTGAAAACCTTTTCTTTAAATATAATTGGAATTTCTTCAAATTAATTTCTTCCTCTAAGTCCAAAGAGTTATTAATATTAACATGCTTGTGTTTCATTTTAGCCATCAAGTCAACTATGTTTTTGAAATAAAGTTGATCAAACGGATCACCGATAGCATTATCAGTAAATCCTTTGCTCACACTCAAATTATTGCTCTCACCTCTGAGCATGTTTTTGTTTGACTGTGGCAGAAATGGGTATATTTTCATCCATAAATGAAAACCCAAAGAATTTTCAATATCAGAATCTTTGCGATAAGCAAATCCTCGATCTTCCTCATTTACAGGTTGAAAAATAACTGTTAATATTGGACAGTGTTGACCACAAAGGGCGTAGAGTTTATCCAAAGAATCCCCTTCCTGAAGTGTGCCATGAGTTATATTACTTCCAGGCAGTGGCTGAGTTTTAATAGCATCATTACCAACAGGGTGGACTTTGTTACCAGCAGGAGCAAAGGCTTGAGTAACAGATGTACACACTCTTTCAGATGGGTAATTACCCTTCTCCTCTCTGTGATGATTTGGTATGCTCTCTTTAGGATGGGTTTTATTCTGCACATCTAGAAAATCTTCACAAAAAGGCTCAGAGTCACTACCATGAGGAAAGTTAAAATAATTGCATTTCACTTCAAGTGGTTGAGTCATTTCCTCCAGTTCTGAAGAGGACAATTCAGCCATTGTTGGGCCAGGAGCCAGATCTCCAAAATGTGAATATGGCACCTCAATGCTGTTCTTATCAAATAGAGTATCCACTGATGTGGTGTCTGCATTGCCGTACATGCCAAGATTCTCCGGTGACACCCTGCACAAATGATTTTCTCGCAAGAGCCATTTGCCATTGTCAATCAGTTCTCCTTTCTCTTTTTCAATAAGGTCCTTGTCATGCTCATCTGTTTTTGTAACATGTTCTATGTTGTTGCCCCCCAGACTGTCTCTCACGCCATTAACATCACCTTCACCTTCCTCTGGGCATTTCTGCAACATGAGAGAACCTCTAGATACCTGTTTAGAAGAGACCAATGACTGGCATTCAGAATCATAAACACTTGTTTTCTTAGCACACTGAAGTTCCACCGGATTATAAGGACAAACTTGAGATCTGTGTATAGATTTGATCATCTCTGCTTTGCCATAAAGCTTTTCTATTGCCCTTTTAACAATTCCTCTATTGTACTCTTTCTCTTGGGCAGTATCGTCATTGTCATTGTGATCATCACTGGATGTTTTGCAGAGGTGTCCATTCTTAACATCTGGCTTATAACCTGACCAATCTAAAGTCACAGGACTTCTGAGATGTTTTTTAGATTCTGTGTAATTTACATTTTCCATGCTTTCTACCATCATTTTAACTTTCACCTTAGTTTCTCCTGCACTGATGTCCTTTTCCATATTTTTACTAGAAGCATAACAAAAATGTAAAGATGATGGTGTCACCTGCCCCCTACCAGTTGTCTCCAAAATCACAGTGTTTCTTCGTTCCTCTTCTATAATATCCCTACCTGATGTGTGTATTGACTTCAAACTCATCCTGGCCTCTAACTCTTTTTGCATTGATTCCTCCGTAGCATGTTCTTTGGCACTTACCTTTATATTAAAAACGTCTGTGTCTTGGCTTTCCAATTCTTCAAAAGATTCTAATTCTGAAATGTTATTTCTTTCACTTGATGTCATGCTATTGGTTATTGACCCTGGTTCTTCAGAAGTCCTTGATTCTTCCTTATCTAAAGATACATATTTCTTTTTACTCACTTTTTTAAGTGAGCATTTTTTAAATTCTTCTAACAAATTATAGTCTTTATCAAATTCTGGATCAGTTTTACTTAGGAAAAGACCATGGGAGCTTAAGTTACTGATATTTGGATATGATGTTGATACATTAGAGTCATTTTTATATGTAGGGTCTGCTAAACTCTTTAGATCTTTTGGGACTTCATTAACTGTTCTGAGTTCTTCAGTTAATTCCAAATTATTGCTGCATTTGTTTTCTCTTGAACTCACAGAGTCAGTTGTTTTGCAGACGCTGATGGGAATGTAAGTTTCATCACTCAAGCAAGCTGTTTCATAGATGTTCTCCCTGTTAGCACAAGCCTTATGGGAGCACACACCATCTGTAAGCAAACAGGCCCCTCCTAGGAAAGAAGCGTCATTTGTGGAGAGCTGGCTTGTAGTATAACTATTACTAGTGAAAAAGTCATCGCTTGGGTTGCCTGTCTCTTTTGGAGGGTTAGTAATATTCAGAGCACCCATCTCACATGGAGAGTTATGTGCCTTGTCAATAATTTCTGAAACACACAACTCGGGGCCACAGTCCTCCCTGGTGGAGTAGCCTTCATCCAAGAGCATCTTCTGTGTCTTTTCATTTTCATTACACTTAACACTCTCAGTGCCGGCTGCTGTGTAATTTCCTGGCACTGTATCCTGCTCTCTCTTCCTGGGTTCACTGCAATTTTTGGTGGATTCCACTAAGTTGGCAACAGCAGCCTTCAAGTCATCGGCTTCCTCTGTGATGGCAATGTCCTTCAGAACTTCCAACAATGCAACCATTTCTGCAGATCTGCTGGTAATCTTATGAGCATCACTTTGACAGAAGTTATTCATATTTCCTTTTAGGTTTAGTACCAAAAGCCAAGCCAGAAGGAGATTAGTGGATGAATTATATATTGCAGAAGGGAATGCAACATCTGCTAATGAACCTGGTATTTGAGCAATTCCGTTCTGATTTTTATGATTACTAGGAACAAAAGCTTCCAGGTGCTGAAGCAACAAGGCTGGTAAGCAGGTTTTTGAAACATTCTCTCCCATAGTGTCTACCTGAATGGCAGCCTCAATACTTTGCCCTTTTGTAGTTGCGTTCATTTCTTGGTAAATAAGACTCACTTCCGGTCTGGACTTCTCAGTAGATAAATGACTTTTAGTACTATGATCGTTAATAGTGGCTGGTGACAAAGTGCAGTGGTCATTCAGAGAAACCAAGTAAGAATCATGCAGAGACCCATCCGGGCTCTCAGAGACATGTTTACTACGCTCTTCACAATCATCTGTAGCAATAAGAGGTTTACCAGCCTCTTGATTTTTATTGTCATTTTTAGTTTTGTGCTTATTACTTTCTATAACAAAACTATTTCTTTTTGAAGAAGTTGTGTGGAGATTATTTTCTGGAAAACCATTACTGTTATAATTTACCACATTACTTCCATTTTTGTGTAGTGGAGCTGATTTCCTGTGCTCAAAATCTTGATACTGATTTATGTTCTGCAACCATCTCTGTACATAGTTCTTAACTGAATAATGGGGAATACCCTCAGAAAAATCTGGTTTTTTCAAAGAAGCTAACATATCTGCCCTGGTTGTAACATGCTGTTCACTTACTATAGCACCTGACTTTGATTTACCTACCTTTTGTTTTTTCTGGTTTTTTAAAGTTACATGTAAATCGTTAAGTTTTGGGACTAAACTCTTTTTTGTTATCCCTCTCACATTTCCAGTTACTCCCTCCATTTGTGACTGTGACCTATGGGAAACTTTCTGGTTTTCCTCAAGGATATTAAACACATTAAGCAAGCTTTGATTTTCTAAATTACCTTTATAAAGGCTAGATTCACTATGGAGAAAAGCTTTATCTCCTTGACCAATTTCTTGTTTTCTGAGTCCTTCTAGGCTTACAATCTTTAGTGGTCTGGATTTTCTTTTGGCTAAAAGTCTTTGAGTCTTAGAATTTTGAAAAGCATTAAATTTATTTTTGTGGAAATTCTTGGAAATTTTGATATTGAGATTACTTTGGGGAGGAAAATTACTAGATTCAGTTACTACATCACTTATGTCAAGGCCTTCCTCACAAAGTTTCCCTCCTTTAAGAGGACTGTCTAGATCTTGTGACAGTATTTCCTGTGCAATTGTTCTTTCTCTGTTTATTTTCCCAACTTTATTAGCAGCTCCTTTGGTGTCAATCACTTTTTTCTTATACCTGGAATTTATCATTAGCTGTGGCGATTTCTTCTTCTTTTTGCTGGGAAAAGAGGATAAACCCTGCTTCCTGTTTTCTCGAAGTTCTGTTAAACCACTGTGAGCAAATTCATTTACAAGTGTGTCCACTCTTGTGACAGTAGATTCAACAGAAGGAACATCAGAAATACTTTTGTCAGCTCCCCAGTTGTCACCCGAGGAAAGAGTTCTGTCTGCTGACATGGAACTGAACTTGTCATTGGTGTGACCATAAATTCTGAAATGCTTGATTTCATCGTTGCCTGATACTATGTCTTCCTCCTCAACTGAGTTCTCTGAAACAGTGGATGGTAGACCATTGTTATGGCACATCTTTAAGACCTTCTGACTTGTAATTTCTATAGCACCAGCATTTATGACATTTGACTTGAGCAGGCCACTTTCCGTTGCTCTCTCTAATGGTGACTCCAAGTCATCATTGCTGCGGATCTGAACAAGTTTATTAGATACTGATGACATTTTACTGCAAGAATGCGTAAACATGTGGTACTCAGATTTTTCTCCACTTTCTCTTTCTTCACTATAGGAAAACTGCTTCTCCTGAACCTCTGTTTCAGATACTACAGTGACAGTCCCTATCACAGACTTCTTTTGTCTCCTTCTCCTTGGCCCAGGGGTCGGGGGCCTGTAGAAATGTTTCACCTGTGTCTGGCATCCCTGAATAATGTCTGTGTCCACAGAAGCATTGTCCCAACCAGCAGAGCTACATGATTCCGCCTGCTGTGCTATCATTTGAGTGTTTTCTTCCTCTGTCAAACTGCCCTGCTGAGTGGTGTCCCCAGACATTGAACACGCTGCAAGCTTCAGATTAGATGCTTGGTCATCTGTTCTTGCTGGATAACTACTTTTCTTAGTCTTTTCCTCGGTATTAGAAAGCCCAGCTCTATTGACAGTGGTCGTCCATTTTACAGTTTCTTCTTCTTTTATCTTAAATCGGACTTTCATCACAACTGTCATAGTACCATCTTGATTAAAAATAATTGACTTCTCAACACCATCATCACAAGGATATGTTGATAGATTCTGAGAATCACGGTTTTCTAAGGCCAAGTAATTTTCAGGGGCCACTGAACAGTCTGAATAGCAGTCATATGTTTTCTCGGACTCCAAGGACTCAATCTGGGGGCTTAGGACTGAAGGCATATGTGTACTCACTTGCAGGATTTTTAATAGTAAAAGTTGCCATGTCAAAACACAATGTGGAAAGCAGAGAAGTTGTAAATATCCCAAGGAAGAAGCAGCAAAGAGAGAAGAAAAGAAAAAGTTAGTACAAAATCCCATTTTTCTGTATTTTACAATAACACGTTACAGATGTATTTCTAAACTGTATGTAGTCTATGGTTATTTGAGAAATCTTACTGAAGTTTCTGGGTGTTTGTTGTTTTTGTTTTTCAAACCACTAGTGTGTGTGTGTGTGTGTGTGTGTGTGTGTGTGTGTGTGTGTGTGTGTGTGTGTTTCTTTCTTTTTTTGTTTCTTGAGACAGGGTTTCTTTGTGGCTTTTGAGGCTGTCCTGGAAGTAGCTCTCGTATACCAGGCTGGTCTGGAACTCACAGAGATCCATCTGCCTCTGCCTCCCGAGTGCTGGGATTAAAGGTGTGTGGCTCCAAGTAAACTAATCACACTTTAATGGAGACATTCATAGAATTTAATTTTAACAACTTTATACTTTATAAAGGAATGTTAATAAGCAGTATATAAAGTACTCACTGAAGATTATATTGGGCAAAACATTTTCTGTGAGGTTTATTTGCTTACCAGCACTAAAACTGGACTCTAACAGTTCTGTATACTTAAGTAAGAAAGTGAGGCAAGCAGCCATGGATGGTAGTGTAAGTTCTGTTTATCTAAATAAGAAAGGCAAACCATGAAGGGTGGTGTTCCATTTGAGCACATACAAGGCTCAGAAGTGTTAGGAAAGCTAAACATCTTTAGTACTTCATCAGACAAATAATATTTAATACTTATTTGTGTGATCAGTGTAGTTGATTTATACACACAAAAACACCAGAGTTAGATATAGACCAGTGTGACTTTGAATGTGAGGTCTGTCATTAACCTTGGCAGCTGTGCTTCTAACGTGACAATTTCCTCCTAGCAGTCCTTATAGATTTGCAAATGTCCTCCCAAAGTCATTGCCATTGAAGTTCTCAGAGCTAACCCTATAAATCCTTTTGTAATGTTTGATAAACAAAAATGTCTCATTCTTACTTTTGTGAAGTAGAACTTAACAAAGCTCTCAGAGCCCCAAAATCTATCAAAAGTCATAATACACAGCTGATGAGAGACACAAAAAGAAAAAATCCACTTCAGAAAACTGACGAAGGTAAAACAGCACTTATCTGTGCAGAATATATATTTGGCAATTAATACCTACAGGTGCATTAACAAATATACTCCTGAAATAATTAGGTGAAAGCAATAATTTTTTTTCAGCCGTACTATCAATAAGAACAGGGATTACTACTCCTTAAAATAAAGATTATTCCAAGTCTAAAGAGAATGAAAATTCAAATTCAAGTGTAAATGGTAATCAGCACATTAGCTCAAAGCCTATATTTCCTTGGCAATAATGAACACAATAAACAATAGGGTTAGTCTCTCTCACGCTGTTGGGCCTCAAGATGCCCTCTTTCTCCACTGTCCTCAGAACAATACCACACTGTTAATCAAATCCTAAAATTTTCAGAATTTAGATTATTGCTACTAGCATAAACTGGGGATTGACAATTTTACAGGAATACCTTCAGAGGAGAGGGCATATAGCTAGATTTTTAAAAAATATATAGACTACTAACTTGCTGAGCTCATCTGTGAATGTTCATTCAGACAAAAGTCTACAATTACTGGAGATATCACATACACAATTCCACAAAACTCTTTCCAAAGCAATAAATTCTGACATTTTGTTTAACAACAACAAAAACTATACTTCATCCATGTAAAAATGTGTATCATTGATTATTTGGAAAAATCTTTCAAAAAGTCCCCAGATATCGGTGACTATTTCTTACTATAAATTAACCAAACTCATTTTGGAATACTTTTAATCCTCTCATGTTTTTGGTTTTGGTTTTGGTGATGAATGAACCTAGTCCTATAAAAATATGTATTTATTGATGAGACAAAAAACAAACAAAACAGTTTCAAAGCTAATAAGGTCTATTTGTAAGTGACTTACTTTTTCTTTTTTCCAACGCAGGTTTACCCTTCCGGTACACACGATGAGAGATCCCTGGTAGCTTAGCAGGAAGCAAGTACTTTTGGATGTCATAATTTCCAGGTTTAAATGGCTCCCTTCCAGCTGCCACCACAGCTCCTGAGCTCAGTATCACTGCCTGGAGACTAGGAACCTAGAAGAAACCAGAGTCACTGTCCTCACATAAACAAGTACTGTTCTTTCCTGTAGTTTATTCATAACTTTGAGTAGCTCGATTTGACAGCCCCCCCCCCCAGGCTTGAAAGAAATCATCTCAAAGCATTTTCTTAGATGCCAGTCATGTACACAAAAATAATCTAGGCAGGGTGGGGGAATGGTATAAGCATCCATTGACACTATTCAGCCTGCATACTAGCTAAAAAAGTGGCAGGCTTGTTTTCTGGAATAACTAAAAGATCTTTAAAAGTAATGTTGTATTCCCGACCAAAGTCTGCAGTTACAGCCAAGTTCATGCCAATCTAGCACCAACTGCGCAAGGACCTGTGGGATAGCAAGTCTGGAAGATGATCTCTTGTGTACTTTCTGTTAGCTGCATACCACGCAGACCCTGCAGACCCAGCATAGGAATACTAAGAAAATGCTTTTTCTAGATAGGGAAACACTTCTCTTGGCCACTCCCTTCCAAGGAATACTTTGAAAAATGCTATTCTTTAACGAAACACTTTAAGTCAGTGTTCAAGGACAACAGAAGAGCAGAAAACAGAAACCTTCAGACCCAGTGACCAAGAAGACACAGATGACTAGAATGTACACATGTGCACATTACAGACACGCAAGCACATGTGTACATTCATACACACAGGAATGCATGCAAGCACGCGCGCATGTGTGCACTCAAGAGATGACTTCGGAGCCACAGAAACACTCACTTTTCTTCCATCTGTGGCATACAGTTTGGCCACCGGACACTGCATGACCTGTGTCAGGTACTTCAGAAAGGCCTCGAAGGTCTGAGTAATCCTTCGGCTGAGAAGGACCACGCACCTGGTCTTCGGGTCACCATTTCGAAAGACCACGAGCCTCCTGGGAGCATGGAGCGTGCCAGGAGCAGTGGTGGGCACCATGGCAGTAGCAGAACTGAGGTGCACATGTGTGCTTAGAGAGCGGCTACTGAGCCAGGGCCGCGGGCGCCTGCGAGCCTTGTCCAAGTCAACTGGCAGCACCTTCCTATTGTGGGAACACAGGTAGGACTCGCCATCCTCCAGCTCCTCCAGCCTGGTGATGCTGTGCCTTCCACGGGGTGTGCTGATATTCCTCACCCCAAAGGGCAGGGGCACCTTCCTGGATAAATTGTCCAGTAGGGCATCGAAGGTCTTAAAGGAACGAGGATTGACCACCACCTTCACACCACCAAACTGGGGGTCTCCGCTCTTGTAGAAGCTGATGCGTTTAGCCACTACTGGATGAGTGACTTTTGCATGGCGAGGGGAAGGAACTTGACCTCCAGAAGAAGTCAAATGAATCATGGAGAAACTAGTAGAAGGTGTCTCACTCATTTTGGATGAGACCTAAAGAGGGAGGGAAGGAAAATGGCTTATTTCCACCATGTGCTGGAGCCGTACCACTGAGACTATGGTAATGCTAACTCTTTGCTTGTTTGCCCACTCCACCTTTTGGTTTATAATGTAAAAGAATACAAACTGGGGGTTGGAGAGATGCCTCAGCAGTTAAGAGCACTGACTGCTTTTCCAGACGAGCCGGGTTCTATTCCCAGGACTCACATGGCAGCTCACAACTGCCTGTAATTCCAATGTCTGACACCCTCACACATATATGCATGCAGCAAAACACCAACGCACATAAAATAAATAATAAAAGAATACAAACTGGACTGGAGATGAAAGCTTGTAACAATCTCAAGCAGGGACCTTTGCCCTCTTGCTGACACAAAAACGGGGTCCTGCCCATTTGGTCATTAGAAGTGGACTTCACAGGCATTCAGCCCAGCAGAGGGCACTGATCTTGCTGGTTATGGTGTGCACATTCCAGGCTAGGTAGAAGCGCTACCTACCTGAACAGAGAACGTGGAGCTTGCACACGTGACATCACCCTTAATCTTCAGGCCAAGCTGAGAAAATGAGTAAAGCTTTTTAATGATACTGGCCAAACATTGCCAAGAACAGACCTCCTTGGCAAGAAATTCAGCTGCTTGTTCCATTTTGGTTGCATTATACACGCTGCAAATCTTCTGAGATCCCGTTTGGCCGCCCATTTCCATTGTTTCCCAAGGACTCAGGGACCTCCATGTGTCTGGACACCCACCACCAGCAGTTCTTGGCACTCCACAGAAAATTGATCAGAGTTAGAGGTATTGATCCACAGATACACCACACCCACACCAAGGTTACTGTGGATCCCAGCGAGGAACCGGCTATGAGAGCCACAGAAAATGGCCTGCAATTGACCGGCTCAAAATGTTCTCAGAATGGGGATGAAAGCAGAAGGTAGGTACCACAGGATTGATGGGGATGTCCTTCTGTATGTATGTTTCTCTTATTGATGAGTAAAACAACAATTAGCCAATAGGCAGGAAGGTAGGCAGGGCTACCAGACCAGGAGAAGGTTGGAGAGAGGAAGATAGATAGAGACAGCAAAGCCATGTAGCTGAAGGAGTAACATGCTGGATTATGGCAATACATAGATTAATAGAAATGGGTTAATAACTGAGACAGAACCAGCCAATGAGCAGCCTAAGCCATTGGCCCAATAGTTTATAAATTAATATAAGGCTTTGTTTATTTGGGGCTAATCAGCTGTGTGACCAGGCTATAAAGAAACTCAAAAAACACAGGATGGTACACCTGTGGTTGATATTGGTGGGATTGCCTCATTTCCAGTTTGGTTTTCAATACTAGGAATCTAAGACAGGGCCACTTAGATATTAAATAACTGCGCATCATCCTCAGCCCCATTTTTTAAATGTTATTAAACTGTGTAAATCTTTAAAATTAAAAAACAATGTAGGATTTCAAAAATTCACAAAAGAGACACAAATCAGAGCGCCTCCAACAAGCAAGTAAGAGTTTAGCAAATCATCCATTTGATCCTTCATGGCCTGACAGTGGGATTGGAGAGGGAAAAGGAAAGGCTTAAAGTTAAGATTGACTTTTAGGCAGAAGGGAATGGGTATGTCTAGAGGAATTTGTATCATTAAGTAAAGAATGTATCATGGAGAGCTGTAATGGGTATGTTAAAATAGATTCAGATGCTTCCTTGGAAAATTAGGAAGTGTAGTAAACCATCTGTCACAAAGTTTATGTTGAGAACCACTCACTGAGTGAATGATTAAATTACTATGAACTGATGAAAAGGTTGCCATCTGACCGATGTGTGCACCAGCAGTTCTAAAACAAGGAGTGGAAGAAGATCCACTTTTAGTAAGACACAGAGCCATTCCTTGACCTCAGAATATCACTGACAAAATTCGTAGCTTTGGAAGGACTTAATATGCTTGGTCTTCCTTTATAGGGTATTGTGGTTATATCTGTTTCATTTTAATCATTAGTGCCTTTGAAAGCATAAGACAGCCCTCAAGCCTCAAAGACAAATTGAATAAAATAGATTTAATTGGTAGTATAGAGATAGTAAAAAGGCATGCTTGCACTATAAATCTAGCCCAAGTCATCTACATAAATATTTGGAAGTAATTGTCTAAGACTCTTCGTACATCTCCCAGGTGATTTGCATATCTTTATGTGGAATTCAGAAAAAAAAAATTCTGTAATCAATCTAGATATTAGTTGTCTCCCCTTTTCAATCCCTTGGAGACTTAAAGTGATTATAGTCTTTAAGATAATAAGGGTAGCCCTAGCTGCCATGTGCATCAGGAGCTAGGAAATCCAGCTTTTCAGTGGTCAGCATAACTGAAGAAGCCTCTTCTCATCCTCTTACATCACTGGCCTGACCTTGGGAAGCCTTCTTAATCTCTCTTCCCTCTGGCAGTGGGGAACCAGGATTTATCCCTAGTGCACGAATGGGCTTTGGGGGCCCATTTCCTAAGGAGGGATACTCTCAGCCTAGATACACTGGAGAGGGTCTAGGCCCTGCCCCCAAATGTGATAGACTTCGATGATCCTGATGGGAGATTGGTGCGGGTCATGGGAGGACAGGAGGGAGCTGGGATTAGTATGTAAAGTAAGATTGTTTTTAATTTTAATAAAAAATTGACTTAGGAGAAAGTAAGAGACTGCTTTAGTAAGGCATGACCACAAGTGGACAGGAAAAATGACTCCTGTTTGTTCTACTCACATATGGCTGACAAGTAATTGAATACGTCAGATCCAACAAAAGGGAATGGCAAACATCTAAGGAGCTAGTTAAACCATTCACCTTGGTCTGATCATTATGTATTGTATTGGGTTAAGAGGCCTCACTGTATTCCATAAATATGGACAATTAATGTTTTTAAACTTCCTTCACCATTTAAATACAGGATTTCAGAGCTCTTTGCCTCCAATTATTTTAGGTTGGTTCATTTACATATTTATTTGAAAATGCATAAATAGGTATTTGAGATACATTTTTACCTCACTTAAGAAAAATGGAATGCATCACTTCGTAAGAGCATTGTGAATGTGTTGATGTTACTAGTCTGCATCTCACTGTTTGAAATGCTGTTAACTTGGTGGAGATGTGAGGAACAGATTTGTGCATGTGTGAAGGTTTTTGAAAAGTTTTACGTTTCTTTGATTTGGGCTAATATATAATACAGAAAAGTTTACACTGGGGCCGAATGGGAGAAGATGTAAGACAAAACCCACAGCAGAGGGAACTAGCGCCCTCCCCAACCTTTTCCTTATTTCATTACTTCCTGGCCTGTTTTGAGCCATAAAAGGCAAACTGAAGGTTACCAGCCACCCAGCAGTGCAGTAAGTCACTAGGGGAAGGTTAGGAAGCTGTGTGAATATTTTACTCATGAAAGTGAGGCTTAAAAGCCCATGCTAATGTAGTCCTTGTGTGTGTAACACAAAACTAAAGAAAGATTCAGTACTTACTTTAAATAAATAAAAAGGTTCTGTCTTCATTCAGTGCCTAATGCAACCACTGGGGAAGGGTTTGCAAACCAAACTCCTTTCCAAGAAAGTGGGTCAGACTCCTTTCTGAGAATCCATGTGAGATGGTGTGTCAGAGCGCCAAGGAAATCCTCAAGGATGTCTGACCCAGACTAAAGGCAGGACATAGAAGGTAACACTCCAGAAAAGATGATGGAGGCTCAGACACCAGATGCAGAGTGGTGGAGGTACCCTCGGGAGGAAAGGGAAACCAGTGCAGCATGTATGTAGCCACCACAGGTGAGCAAGACCAGTGATGTGAGCAGTAAGTCTTGATGGCCAACTGTGCCGTTTGATGATTGTGCTGCTTTTTTGATTTATAAAACTAATCAAACTTTGTGTGGAAAAGTTTTTTTACAAGCATTCTCAAACATACACCCTCTGAGATTGGGATCATAAACTTTGGACTTAGCCAGAAAACAAACCAAGTAGCCTAACATGGTTTCATTCACTCAGTCTGCATTGAGGACAAGTGGAGATAGAGGTAATAAGAAAATTATAATCTTGAGACCTACTTCTTTCCTCCACTGACTCCCTAGAGATAGCAAGGGAGCTGGCTAACAAAATGTATTTACCTCCAGCCCAATTTACACTAAAATTGGTTGCTACTGATGGGTAGCTTGCTCCCAAGAGATTCCCTCCTCTGTTCAGAACGTTTTCATTGCCAAAAAGTTAGATAATGGAGCATAATACACTTTGGTTCACTAGGATTAAATGCAGTTAGGCTTGTCTGCCTTGTGATGGCTCTCAGTCAACAATACTTTTAACTCTGTGGTACTCAGACCTGAACAGTTGCCCCTACCAACACAAAGCATCTGGTCCCCCACCCATCTGACAAAATAAATGGTGGATCTAAAAGACACATGTATCATTTCACTAAGCATATACTATTCTATTTTCTATCTAATTTTCTCCCACTCAGTAGGAATCCAGGCAGTTAAAGAAGGATGATGTAGAAAACTATTAAAATCAGAATGTTTATTCTCAGGCCAATTCACAGACAATATTGTAGTGAAACTAACTCATTTCATCACAAATTTCCACAGCCTTATTGGGCAAGAGGGAAAAGAGACCCAGAAGAAATATATATAGCAGTAATTCACTGTGGCAGCCACAACACTTGAGTTATCAACAGGATCTTTTCCTTACTGTATTGAAGTTTTCTATAATAAATATATAATGCCATTAAAAGCACAAATAAAATTAACTTTCCCCATATTTCTCTAAACTGGAGTCACAATTTCCTGATACTGAAGCTTTCTCCTCCTTCAATATCATCATACATACTGCAAAGACTGCTGTCCGACTTGAGTACCAGAAATTATTATTAACATTTATTATTCTAATGGTTAACAATAAAACAGGATTGTAATCTACATATGAAAGGGAAAAGTAAGATAAAATGAGCAAAGCATAATTTTTAGGAGGAATAGTTTAAAATAGTTTTGTACTTACCAGAACCTGAAAGCTTCCTTTTGAAGAAAAGAGGAAGTAGTTTGAGAGTTCATATAAACATCACTGGGTATGCAGCCTGCTTCATTTCACATAAAGAAGCAAGTGTTTTTGGATTTATAATTGGCATGTCCACCCAGGGATTGGGTAGAGCCAATTAATTTAATCCAAGGTGACGGTAATCACTGAAGGAGCTCACCTCAAGGGTGCCACAGCCAGAAAAGGAGGCAGCTGCTAGCACACTGAGCATCTCAAGTCTCTTCTGCTAAGTATCCTCCTTACATTGCCTCTCTTAGAGGCATCATCTTCTGCAGAAAGTTCTTCAACTCACAAATATCTCTTCTAATTACCTCGATTATTTATGTAAAAGAAATTACTGAAACAAAATG